TTCTTGGTCTATTACACACAAAAATAAAAAATATCACATAATTCTTAAGAGTTGGCTCGTAAATGGAAAAAAACATTCCTTAAAATATGATGCGACTATACGTAACGCTTCCCCCAAAAGTAAGGAGCTCATTTTGAAGTTTTTTCCAAACAAATATCTGGGTGCTTCAACGCGCCAGATCCATGCACTATTACACATGAAAAACAAATAGAGTCGTGTGAATCTTAAAAGTTGGCTCGTAAACGCCAAAATATGTCTAAAAATATGGCGAGACTATATGTAACGTTTCCTAACTCATTACAAAAACGTTCATAAAGTTTTTCAGAAAATAATTTTGGTGCTTCAAGGTACCTGATTTATGGAGTTAATATTTAATACACATAATAAATCAAGTAAGTCACGTAATTTCTAAACGTTGACTCATATATACGAAAATATGCCTAAAAATGGTAGGACTGCACATAACGGTTCCGTAACTCATTATGAAGGTCTCATAAACTTTTTTCAGAGTTTTTTTGAGTGCTCTAAGGTGCCAGATCTATGGGTTAATACATGCGAAAAATCAAGAAAGTCACGTAATTCCTAAAATTGGCCACATAAATTTGAAAATATGCTTGAAAAAAATGGTGGGACTATACGTAACGCTTCCCTAACTCATAAATTTTTTCAGAATAAATATTTTCGATGCTCTGAAGCGCCAAATATGTGGGTTGATTCACACGAAAAACAAAAAAAAAACGTGTAATTTCTAAAAATTTGGCTCATAAATGTGAAAATATTTCTAAAAAATGGCGAGACTGTACGTCACACTTTTCCAACTCATTATAGATGTCTTCATAAAGTTCCTTCAGAAAAATATATTGGGTGCTTTGAGGCGCCATATTCATGCGCTATATGAAAATCAAGAAAGTCACGTAATTCCTAATAGCTGGCTTGTAAATGTGAAAATATCCCTGAAAAAATTGTTGTGCTGCAGATAATGGTTCTCCAACTCATTAAGGTCTCAATAAAAAAAAATTAATTTTTTTTGTGCGTTTCGAGGCGTCAAACCATGAACTAATGCACACAAAAACTAAGAAAGTCGTGTAATTACTAAACGTTTGCTCATAAATATAAAAATGTGGTTGAAAAAAAATGGTGGGAGTGTACGTAATGCTTTCCCAACTCATTACGGTGGTACTCATAAAGTTTTTTTAGAAAAAAAATTGGATGCTCGGAGGGGCCAAATTCATACACACGAAAATCAAGAAAGTCACATAATTCCTAAATGTTGACTCATAAATATGAAAATATGCCTTAAAATGGTGCGCCTTTACATAATGCTTCTTCAACTCATTACAAGAGTTTTCATAGAGTTTTTAGAAAATTTTTGTGGATGCTCCATGCGCTAAATCGATGGGCTAATAACATACAAAACAAAGAAATTCACATAATTTCTAAAAGATACCTTGTAAATACAAAAATATGCATTAAAAATTGTGTGACTATATGGAATACCTCCCCAACTAACTACACAGGTGCTCCAAGGGGTCATGCTCATGGGCTAATACACACGAAAAATCAAGAAAATCTCGTAATTCCTTAAATGTTAGTCTTAAATGCGAAAATATGCCTTAAAAAAGTGTGTGACTATGCGTAATGCTTCCCTAACTCATTATGAAGGTCCCTATAGAGTTTTTTTCCAGAAATTCTTTCTAAGTGTTCCAAGGAGTTAGATCCAATTGCTATTACACAAGAAAAATCAAGAAACTCGCATACTTCCTAAAACTTGGCTTGTAAATGCAAAAATATGTCTTAAAAAATTGTGCGACTATATGGAATGTTCCGCAACTCATTATGGAATTCCTCATAAAGTTTTTCAGAAAAAAATTTGGTGCTCCAAGGCATCAGATCTATGGGCTGATAACACGAAAAATCAAGAAAGTCCCGTGATTCCTAATGGTTGGTTCGTAAACCCTAGTCGTGAAAAACCAACTCATTATAGAGCTAAAGTTTATTAGAAATTTTTTTGGTACTCCAAGACGCCAGATACATGGTCTAATAAAAAAATCAAGAAAGTCGTGTAATTCTTAAAAATTTGCACATAAATTCAAAAATATGCCTTAAAAATGGTGTGATAATACGTAATTCTTCTGCAACTCATTATAGAGGTCCTCATAAAGTTCTTTCACAAAAAAAAATGTGTTCTTCAAGGCGCCAGATCTATGGGCTAATACACACGAAAAATTAAGAGAATCATGTAATTTCTAAAAGTGGTTCGTAAATGCAAAAGTATGGCTTAAAAGTTATGGATAATACTTAATTATTACGGAGGACCTCATAAAGTTTTTTCAGAATTTTTTTTTTGATGCTCCATTGCACCAAATTCATGGGCTAATACACAAGAAAAAATCAAGAAAATCGAGTGATTACTAAAAATTGACTCGTAAATATTAAAATGTGCCTTAATAACATGAATTAAAGTGTCAAAATGAAAATTAGAATCAAATTTATGCATTTGTTTTTGGCCAATTTCTTTGTTTATCAACCTCAACCTTTATGCAATTATCACTGGAGAACCTACAATCTAAAGATAAATTTATTACAGGATTTGATTTTAGTTATTGTGATACTTAATTATGCAGGTTTTACCTTTAATTAATTGAAATGTCCATTTTTGAATTTTCTTACTTATAAAATATTCACAATTTTACTATGATTATCAACTATTCCTCCACTTAATTATCTATTTGTAGGTTAAGTTTGGAGTTGATATCTCAAAAGATCACTCAATTTTGAGAATTTATCTAGAAAAGTCATTAAATTTTTATTTTGTATCAATAAAATTACTAAACTTAGACATTTCTATCAATAATATCACTCAATCAAATTTATTATTAAAAAAAATTTATATAGCAAAATAAATTATTATTATTTATATCATGTCCTATTGAACTAAAAACTAAATTCGATGACTTTACTAGATAAATTCTTAAAATTATTTTATTCTATCTTTGGCGCTAATATAATTTTAATAACAATCTAAATATAACATATTTTGTATCTAAAAGGACCAAAAACATGCCTTCTAACTAATTAAAGGCTAAACATATTGAAGAATATATATCACAAGGACCAACATAAGAAACCAATAATTGAAGTAGCTACTAGGAAAAGTGCTATTATCTCTTTTACACAAGCATACACTTGATCAAAGATCCAAGAAAAAATTGTGGCGAAGTGGTTATTACTCCTTCATACTCAATCAGAGATTTAGGGTTTGTTTCCTATCATGTACAAAGTTATCTTTGTTCGGAAGTGCTTCAGCTCTGAATATAAAATTTTCTTTTGCAAATTCAAATTTAATTCTAAATCTCAACACAAATATCGAACACCAGATAGAAAACAAAAGAAAAAAGTTGCCAACTTGTGAAAATAAGAAGGGAAATGTACATATATGAAAAAGAGAGGGGAGACACATACAAATGAGTCATTTTCAAGTCCATGACCTTAACTTATATACGTATTTTTAGATAAATCTTCAAATATCTTGAGGAGGATTTTCTTTTGCAAGTAGTTAGATTTACCAGTATGGGGGCAATGCTTCCATACTACACTCATATTATGGAGCAGTGATGGATCTAATGTACGACTTACGATTTACGTGAATCCAATAACTTTTAATTATATCATGTATATATAGTAAGAATTCTACTAAATATCTATTAATGTAAATACAAACCTAATTATTATTAGTATATTTGAAATTATTATAGAAATTCATGAACTTCATATTCTGAATCCGTCTCTGTCAAGGGAGAGCGACTCAGGATCGATGGAGGAAGGCATCCCATCATTTCACCAAGACTCCAAATGGATAACTTACAGAAATCTCACTAGTTTCGGTGCTCTAATTAGTTAGATAGAATATAGTTTGCTATATACGTCTAGATACATGTATCTCGAGATACATAAGGTCAAAATAAAGTGTAATAATTTTCAATAGCTACACTGTATCCAAATGAATTCGCATGTATCTAAGATACATAAATAAATCTTGATCGATCGCTTATCTTCCATCTTGCTTACCATTATTTCTCCTATGTATTTGGTTTCCTAGTGTGATTGTGTATCAGGAATACATAGACAAACCTCGCTCACCTCTTTTCTATTCTCGTTCACCTCTCTTCCTATTTCAATGTTTCTGATAGCAAAAAACATATATCTACGCGTACATTTACAAAAATGTTGCCAAAAGTCACATCAAAATATAAGGCATATAATCTTGATTTTCTCTTTTCCCATTTGGAATCAAACAAGTGGAAGAATTGGCCAGGACAGCAACAAAAGAGTTTTATGAACTTTTAGACAGGCATATAAATTGAAAGGAAGCAATCTTACAAAGAAATGTCCACTTCAAATTTAGTGAGCATAGACATTGACATTTTTTTCTTTTCATTTTTATAAAGATATGATCAATTTAAGACTAATTTTATCAGTGGGTCCCACTTGAAATCCATTTGATAAGAGTTGTAGCCAATCAGAAAAAAGAAACCAGGATGAACTTTTAAAAACTAGCCAATTAGAAAATAGATAAGGCCACTATATGCCCTGGTCCCAAATGTGGAGTCCCATTCCATGAGAAATTGAAAAAAAAATAGAGTTTATTAACTAATTATGAACTTTGATGTTGTATATTTCTATTATATTATTGATTTACTTAAAATATTTATACAATTATAGAATTATTGAGTATGATATGTAAAAATTAATTAACATAGAAAGCAATCGATTAAATTACACTGATAATATAAAATTTACTTAACTGATATTAATGCATATAACGTTGTCGATTCAACTTATATACAAATATATTTATTTATAATTATTTTATAAAATTGTGCTATTATTTTTTTTTTATACTAGAATAAATTTAAACTCATATATGTAGACAATGCATTAATTTTGTGGGTCACTCTCCTCCTATATTTCATTCAAATAATTGCACTTTTCCCTATCCCTTTTGAATTCTCTTCAATTGCCTTTCTATACATATAAAGAATAAACTCAAACATATTTCACTACTTTCCTCTCCTTCAACTGTTGTTCAATTCCTATATTTTCAAAGATCCAAATATTTTGAAAAATATATGCATCAATTATGAGTTCAGAGAAAAAATTAGCTAACGCGATGGGCGCGAAAACGGCTAGGGCTTGCGACAATTGCATAAGGAAAAGGGCAAGATGGTATTGTGCAGCCGATGATGCTTTCTTGTGTCAATCTTGTGATTCTTCCGTCCATTCGGCCAATCCTTTGGCTCGTAGACATGAAAGGGTTCGTCTTAAAACATCATCTTTCAAATCGTCAGATGACTTTCCTAATTTGGAAAGTACAGTCTCAGGGTTAGGGTCAGGGTCAGGGTCAGGATCAGACTCAATTCCATCATGGCACTGTGGATTTACTAGAAAAGCACGAACACCTAGGTATGGTAATAAACATGCAAAAAGAGTTAAATCCACGGAGGAGGAAGAGGAGGAGGAGGAAATGAAAAACCCTATTCAACTCGTTGTCCCAGAGATATTAAGTGATGAAAATTCACACGATGAAAATGAAGAAGAGCAACTCTTGTATCGCGTACCTATTTTTGATCCCTTTATGGCGGATGGCTCTAATTATGGTAACGAATATTCTTCTAATAAAGTTGATTTTAATCAAGATATGAATACGTTTCAAGGTCTGCTAGCTCCATCAGAGATGGAGCTAGCAGAATTTGCCGCGGATGTGGTAAGTTTATTAGGGAAAGGACTTGATGATGAAGAGTCATTTAATTACATGGAAGGTTTAGGTTTTTTGGAAAAACATGATGAGAAATTAGTGAAGGTTGAAGATGAAGGAGAAGTGGGATTTGTGAATATGATTAGTACTAATAATCAAGTTGATTATTCAGAATTTGATATGGTTGGTGAGACATTTGAGCTCAAGTTTGATTATGATTCACAAGTTATTAATAACTTAGATGAAGATAACAAAAAGGTTGAATTTTTGGAGATAAATTATGATAGTGGGAAAAATAATAATAAGATTATGTTAAATCTTGATTATGAAAGTGTTTTAAAATCTTGGGGTGACAAAAGATTTCCGTGGACAACGGGCGTGCGGCCCGAAGTAGATTTCAATGACTGTTGGCCAGTGTGCATGGTAAGTTTACTTTAGCATATATTATCAAAATTTTAGAATTTTTAGATATACTGATAGTATTAAAGTATTTTATATATGTTAGATTATTTAGTAATTACATTTAATTAGTTCAATTAGTAACATGTAAGATAAGAGAATATACCTTTTTGTATAAGGTATTTGAAATTGGAAGTTATAATATCTAGATATTAGAAAAAGGTTTCATTGTTGGAAGTATTTGGGGAATCATGTGAAAAGAATAGTTTTTAGCACAATAAGACATTTCTATATAATAATAATAATAATAATAATAAAAAATAAATAACAACATTTCATTATAATATTCGAAAAAAATTTGGAGCCAACTTTTGATGTATTATGTTTTATTTTCTATAACAACATTTCAGTATAGCAACTTGTAAATATAGAAATAAACTATGATGATATACTAGATGAGCCAATTGTTAATGAATTGACCTAAAATTTGCAGGGAAATTGTGGGAAAATTCACTCATATGGAGACATAGCAATAATGAATGGACATGGAGGAGGAGTAGTGGATGAAGGAAGAGAAGCAAGAGTATTAAGGTACAAGGAAAAGCGACGAACAAGGTTGTTTTCCAAGAAAATAAGATACGAGGTTAGGAAATTGAACGCTGAAAAAAGGCCTCGAATGAAAGGAAGATTCGTCAAGAGGACCAATTTTGCACCAACCCCTTTTCCTTCACTTAATAAATAAGTGAAGTTTAAAGCAAAGGCAAGTTTAGAATCGTTTTTGTGAGTTCAACTGAACTCATTGCTTCAAGCTAGAACGATGTATAGTATGTATGCAAACATTTTCTACATAGATGACGTTCATTCTGGGTTTACCGACTCTAAATACTATATGTTTGCAAGAATCAGGTTTTTATGTGCTACTTTTTATATAGTACAAGTAAACTTGAGCTTTCTTTCCTAGATGTATTATGTATATAGAGATTACAATATAATGTCATTTTTATGAAATTTTTTTTGTGTCATTTTGACCTAGGACTTTTGCCATCTATAATCTCAAATTGTTGGATACTCAGGAAGGAGATATATATATATATATAGAACACAATATCTATCTCCCTAGTTTTTGTTCCATCTTCTAAGAAGATGTTTCCTTTTGGATTATCAAAGAATGATGAAGATATGTACTCTGTTTGTTCGTATTTATTTGTCTATTTGACTTGACACACTATAAATAAAATTGAGGGTATAATAGTTAAACATATTTTTTTTTATTTGTCAAAAATGATAAGTAAAAAAAGATAAATAAAAAGTCAAAATTGAACGAGTAAAAAGGGACAGAAAGAGTATAAGATTTCTTTTTGGAACCCGACGTGAAAATTCAAGGAGGTTCTTGAAAAACGAACCTTGTGGTTGGAAAAAGAAAAAAGTTAGTGTTGATACATGCATTTACCTAGTTCATGTATGTTTTCATTCATGAACTAGGGAATAGGAAAAAAGTTTTGAATTAAATTGTGCTACATGTATTAGAATAGATGGATACGTGTTAGAAGAATTTCTATAAATATATAGGTATTAGAAGCCAAGATGTAAATTACTTTGATGGAAAAATATAATCACCTTTTGTCTTCAAGAAAATTTGTAAGTCAAGTTGAGTGAAACAAAGAATTGGTTTGTATCTAGGGAGTTCTATTAGTCTAGTTGTAAAATAGATATTGTAGGGTACTTATGTCTTTTTTTAGGTTTATTTTCAAAATTACAAAAATTTGCTATTGGTTAGCTAGATATTTTCTTTTCTAGACACAACAATTACATTTGATGGAGTTAAATAAAATATTCCTTCTATTCTCTTTCATCAACATCTATCAAGTTTCCATAAGATTTCAAAATCAAATTCATCTTATAATTACTAAGAGTGACACATTAGAGCATAAGGGTGTGAGTAATCCAACATCATTTATGGAATGAATGACTAGACTATAGTTGTACATTCTATGTCTTTCTTTATCAATCTATCGTTTTACATCACGAAATTAACTAATGTTCGTTATTATTACTAATTAAATGGATATATGTTAACCTTTCGCTATTAGCAACCACTCTCCTAATTTTGACTAGATAAGCTTTCTTTATGTTAAGTAATACTCGTTGTTGAGGTATTAGACTTAATTGCTCACACCCCAAAAGCTAGCTCAAAGGAGAAGGATTGTCCAAGCCTTATAAGGAGTCCACCCATTTCATTAACCACCGACGTGGGACTTTTGTCGTTCTTTAACACCCGACCTCACGCCCAGTGCTTAGCATCTGGTGCTTGGACGATTTTGATTTTGGGGGCCCCATAGAGGCGGACCCACATAGTGTCCGCCGAGTGCTCGAGCACCCATTAACTTCGTTACGGAATATATATATCTATGTAGAAATTGATAGGTATTTGTATAAAATTAACATAGAGCACCCAATGAATAAATGATTTAGTTGACCCAATGGCTCCTAGATGGGTACTTAAGATTTTTTTAGTGTTGTTTACCAAGGTTCAAATCTCACTGTTAACACATATTTTTTATATTTTCACTTTAGAGCGCCTTAGGTCTAACTCACACCCCAAAAGTTAACTCAAAGAGAGGAGGACTTCTCAAGCGTTATGAGGAGTTCACTCATTTCATTAACCACCGATGTGAAATTTTTGTCATTCTTTAACAGTCGACACCTCATGACATATTATTTGAAGTTAAGTTAGGCTTAATGTTCACTTCTTTTATTATTATTTTACAAGGAATGATTTTATTTCTACTAATTATTAAATTGTAGTACACTCATGGTCTATTAATTGTCATTCTTAATTTTTTATTTGGATGTAATTCAGATGCTAAAATTTGGAGAAGAATCAAATGATTGAGAGTGGACCTTACTATTAAATTCACACCTTGGCACTTTCTCAATGGTTGACATGATTCAATGGTCCCTAGCTACTAGTCACAAGTCTTTTTTAATCTTTTATATTGTTTGAACCCAGGATAATCTGAAACAACTACAATTTTTATTATAATTTCTGTGTTTCAAGTAAAAATTTCGTGGTGAGCACTTTAGGCATATTGGGATTCCCTGATTATCTAATATCCTGTAAATCAAATAATAAATTTAAATCACACTAGAGAAGTCCTATATGACAACTCAATCCAAAAGACATTGAGAAAGAAGTGTTCTCGATCAGGATGACTATCTTTCTAACCAAGTGAATCATCTCGAAGAACTCTTTTGTTTACTAGCATGAAATAGGGAAAATACTATATTAGATAGTAGTCTATCAAAATAGCAGTTGAATAAATATATATTACTATGTATTATGATTAATAGTTATAATTATTTTTAATGGACGATCAAATGTTAACTTCACAAAAAATGAAGTCAGTCCATTTTTATTTGTATAAAGAATTCCTTAAACAAATACAAAAGTTAAACAATCTCTCTTAAATAGGATCAATGAAAAAAAAATTCCACCATTCTGACTTCGGATAGTCCTCAATTCGATGGTCTATCAAAAATATTTTTTTATTATTTTAGAGATAGGGACAATTTTTTTTTGTACATTTTATTTTTCTAGATTCTATTTTATAAAATTACATCAACTATATTATTATTGTTAATTTTGTGTTTGTGGTAGAAATAACAACAGGTAGCCACTTTTAATATTTCTATTAAGAAAATAGTCATCAAAGGAAAATATATTTAAAATTTAGCACTTTTACTGATTCCTCGTCCTTATGTGGTTGTTTTGTTGTGTATATGAATTTGTTAGAATTAAATCTTTTAGTTTTCAGTAGTTATATAAATAGGAAGATTGATTTGGATTTAAACGAATTAAAAATATAATAATTAAATTGTAATTATCTATATGAATTTAAATAAAAAATGATTTGGATAAAATAATCGTAACTCACTTTGATTGTTATTTGGTACAAGGGACAAGGCCTAATGAATAGTAATTTGAGATAAAATATAAAATTATTTATTCTAATATTTAGCTAAGGGTATTAGTTAGTTCCGAGATTATTTATTTCACGTCGAAGAGTATTATGTATTGATTATGGTATTAGTTATGGCTTTATGCTATATTCACCTTTATTTATTTATTTTAACAATAAATTTTTCAACTCTTTTAATTCATCCATATTTTATACCCAGTAAGAAAGAAAATATTACTTTTCCATATTGTTTTAAAAAAAGGATTTTTTTATTGTTGTAAAAAATGTCATGTGACACATTTTACTCCGTTTGCTTGCTTTATGTATTTATATTAAAAAAAGAAGTTGTGTTTGTATTTATCTATTTTATCATATCAAGGGAAAAACAGAAAAGAATTTTATTTTTACTTTTATTATCAACTATTTATTCTAAATTATTTGTCATTTTTAATTATTCACTTTAGCAAATCAAGAGAAAGACAATTTCCTATTCTATTATTACATTTAACAATAATTATTATTCTAAACCATTCAATTTTTACTTGTAATAGGTAATTCCTTTTATTTTAAAATTATTGTTTTTTTTTATATATTTTAAAAATGTTTAATTGAATATGATGTTGAATAAAGATATGGATTGTATGAAAAAGCATATAATATTGGATCGAGTATTTGGGCTAAATGGATTGACACCAACATTGATCCTAACAAGACTAGTGTCTTCTTTCAAGGAATTCCTACTGTCCATTTTCCGTATGTATCTTTAAATTTGATGAATTACTATTTGTCATTCACATATTAGTTTGTTTTAACAAATTATATTTATTTAAAAGTAGTTAATGGTTACTTAATAGACGAATGTTTAACTGATCACACCTCATCTGGATTGTCTTTCTTAATAATATGTCAAATTTTAAAGACACAATATATAAATATATCCTTTAGTTATTGGTTTTATTTCACATTTATGCCTTCCAACTTTGGATATGCACAAGTGCACACTTAATCTTGTATGATGTTGAATAAATAGATGACATGCACATTCTATATATGTGGCGTCCTACTTGACATTTTTGTGTGCTATGTGACATTCTACATGCAGTGGCGGAACCAGAACTTTGACTAAGGGCAGTCAAAATATAAAGAAATAAAATCGCGTAGAAATCAAAGACTGTCAATATATATATACACATACATAAAAAGTATTTTTACTCTAGCTACATAGTGTAATTTTCCGACGAAGGGGTGTCTCCGATCTGCCACTGCCTTATGTATCATGCTACGCAGGATGTGTGTGTCTACTTGTTCAATTTTTAAATAAGTCAAAGTATCTGCTTGTGCACATACAAAGTTGTAGGGCATAGATTATATATATGTGATATTTTTTCTTGGTTGGCTTTGACTAGTGGTGCAAATTGGGGTGAACCAAAGGAGGTAAGCTGCAAGGGGCAAACCAAGCCCCTAGAAGAATCAACTTATCATAAAGAAAGTATTGAACACAATGAAGAAACAAGTACATTTGCTTGATATTACATTGTTGACTCAATTGAGAAAAGATGGACATCCATCTATTTATGGCACAAGTGGTCCACTAGATTGTAGCCATTGGTGTGTTGCTGGAGTACATTTATTATTGTCTTGGAAATAAATTGAAATAAGAACATTTATTAGAGACTTTTAAGGTGGAAAACCTTGTGTTCATCAAGTTTTTTTGTCATATAAAATATTTTAAGGCACTCATGGCATTCAAAGGGTTTTTAATTGTTTATTTCGTTATGATATTTATTCAGGTTAAAAAGTAGTACTCATTTTATGAATATTGAACTAAGGGAAAAGGGTCTGATATATACCCTCAACTTTGTCATTTGGAGCTGATATACCATCGTTATAAAAGTGACTCATATATGCCCTTACCGTTATACAAACGACTCACATATGCCTCTGCCGTTATAATATGACTCACATATACCCTTCATTTAACGGATGTTAAAAAATTAGTTTTAAATTTATATTTTTTGCTTCTAATTTTTTTTAAAAATGATTTAGGGGTATATATGATTCTTCTATCAAAGTTCAAGGTATATTTCATAAATTATTTTTTGACTTCTTTTATTATAATTATTTGAGTTTCTTATTCTTATTTTGTTTTTTTTCTTTCATTCCTTAATTTAAAGAAAAAAATTAAACTATCTTTTTTGTGTATTGTAATTTAATTTCGTATTTGAAGAAAAAATTTGGTCATCTACAGTAAGTTTTACAAGAATATTAGTGAAACATAAATAAATTTGATTATCAAAATAATAATTATAAATTAGTCATTGAAACAAAAAAAGTCAAAAAAAAATTTGACGAGGATTAAATTTACTCATATGTGATTATATTTTTTTAAAAAAAAGAAATTTAGATTAAAATTATTATTTTTTATTTCCGTTAGAGGAAAAAGGTATATTGTGAGCCATTTGTTTAGAAGCAGGGGTATATATGAGCCACTTTCATAACAAGGGGTATATCAGCTCTAAATGACAAAGTTGAGGAATATATCAGACCCTTTTCCCTTGAACTAATATGATAAATATTTAGGTCGTATATACATGTCAATGAACTAGAGAAGATCACATGGTGCAAACAATACAAACTTGATATAACACAAATAATCAAAGAGTGAGCAATTGATAATCATATATAGTAACTTTATAAAATACTCACAAGTAAAGGGGTTCAATTAATAGAAGATCAAATGTAGTTAAATATTACAAGACTAAATTCAGAACGATAACATATATATCCAATATAACTCGACATGTGGAGTATGAAGAGGATGTTCTGAACGTACGTAACCTTACCCCTACATGTGGAGTAAAGGTAGATCTAGATCACAAGGACTAAATTCAGAATTTATTAAAAACCGAGGGACCAAAAGTGATATTGACCAATACATTAGTTGTATAAATAGTACAAATTTTCACCTCAGAAGAACTCTTGCTGCATTTTGTTCACAAACACATTAGTAATTAGATCCCTTCTGATGAATAAACTGATCAAATTTTGATCTGAACTCTGACGGAATTCGAACAGGACGGTAGCTTTTATCAAGCCACACTGATGTTCCTCTTGCTTCCAAGATAGGCTATGTAAATTCAAGAAAAATACAGTAAGATTTCACTAGTATTATAAAGTTATCGCTTTGTAATTGAATGATAATTAGATGTACGTAACTGACCTCTTGATCTGGAAGCTTGAAGATGAAATGCTCGAAATACAAACGAGCAGCTGTAGAGCCGGATAATCTCACCTTCACGACGAATCTATCTCCACTCTAAACCAATGATCAAAGAAATGATAACATAGCTTGAATTTTAAGTAGTTGTATTCACATTTGTAGCCATAAAAAGACTAAACAGTTCTGTTTTCCCATATGACTAATAAAGTCACCTCTGTGTATCTCCAAAAATTTTAAATACTCCAAATTCGACTTGAAGTACATGCCAAGTAGTGTTAGGACCGAAAATAAGCAGGTGTAAACGCGGAAGCTAGCAAAGCAAACCTCGCAAGATCACGAGTAAGAACACAACGAGAAATATACCAAAAGACACAAAGATTTAACGTGACCTACGTCCACAAAGGAGATGAGCAATCCACTATAAATAGTACAAAATACAGAGAGAAACAACCTCAACCAATTCATTCGAAATACATGGGAGGTTCACACAAGTGATAAGGTATCATGCTTGTGACCCACAAATTCTCCCTCTGACCAAAACTCTCAAAGCCTTTAAGACTACATTGTGAATGCTGATTAAGTTAGAAGGAACATGTCTCTATTTATAGAGTCCTAAACCTTTTGCTACTAGAAAAAGGAATAGTCAATCCAAAACCTTTTTTCTAATAAGAAATTTAGGACAAATAAAACCTAACAAGTAGTATATATAACAAATACATGAAGCATAAACAGGATGAAATTCGACATACCCTTAGAGGTGCTAGATACTTGAGTGAAATTTCTGTTGTTGCTAATGCATCACCATTGCGACATACTTCATCAACACTTAGGCCAATTCTTTCTAGATATTCATGACGGCCTGTTTCATTTATTGAAAAAATGAAGTCTTTTTAAGTTCAAATATTGTAATTTGTGTACGATCGATTATCAAAACAGTAAACCTTACAATGTTGACAATAACTTGCATAAGTAGCATTGTTTACAACACCAAATTGATCCAATTCATAGTCCCTGACTTTGAGTTCAACTTCATGGAAATATAGGTCACCTATTCTGCAAAGTTCACAAATAAATAATCGACTATGTCAACGAGCAAATAATGACACCTTTCTATATTCAGTAACAATTTGACTTCAAAATTGTCATATTTGCGCGATCTGAATTGGGACAGAGGATGTAATAGATATATATATATATACATACCCTCGTGTACCATTGAGATCAAATGCATTAGTGTCAAAACTCCGCGATTTACTGGCTGATAACTGTAAATTTGGAAGATGGAGTTGCCTGACCGGAAATGTAGATGGTGGCCGACGATTCGGAAACAGTGAGATAAGGCAATTGTTGCCAATCAAAGGGGAAACTATGGATTGTGACATTTTTTTTTGTGTGTGAAGAATTTGTAGAGGGAGATTCAAAATATTGGGAAGTTTGTTTCAAGTATATGTAGACATTAAAGTTTATGCTTCTATTATTGCGTTCGAAGCACTTAATAGCAAATTGTCAAAAAAAAAAGAAGAGGTTAGGTTAAAAGTCTATAATAAACTTTAATGTTAAACTAGATATTAGACCTAACTCAGCCTAGCTCAAACGGAGTAGGATTGTCCAAGTCTTATAAGGATTTCACTCAGCTCATTTACCGCCAATATGGAAAAATTACGTAAATTCATATAAGTTAATTATAAATGAAAACAAAAAAAAAATAGTGATTGCGATATTCATAAGTAAGACTAGGCACCGGACTGGGACCACCGAACCGGAATAAATCGGAACGGGACGGGTTGACTGGTACCAGGATGAAGCGTACCGTAATTACTGGGATGAATATTCGGTTCCGTCCTGTTCCACTATATATCGAGATGGTACCGAGACGGACTGAAATAGAACAGGACGGGCCGACACATATTCGAAAAAAATAGTTATTTTGAATGGAACCATACGTTTGTGTAAAGAATAAATGATTATAATCGAAAATTGAAAATTTAATGTCAAGACTTGAAATTTGAAAAAGATTCCTCCTTCAAAATTCACAAAATGATTATTCAAATCTTTACAATTGCAAAATAATATGATTAAAATTTGAAACTTGAAACGTTGAGAAATGAGAGAAATCAATAATCCCTCCGTTCGGTATTGTTTGTCATTGTTTCTATTTTTAGAGTCAAACTATAAAAACTTTGACTAACATTTTAAAATGATTTTTTTCATCATATTAATATGCAAAAATTGTAACATATAGTATTTTTCATGTAATTTTAAAATATTTAAATTTTTTTTTAAAATATCAAATTAATATGATCTAATTTATCTTTGAAAATTAATCAAATTAAATTTCGATAAGCATAACATGACAAACAATTCCGGACGGAGAGATATTTGTTAATTGTAAATATGATATGTAGCGAAAAATATAAAGAGAGGTAGTATTTATGATTTACCTTTTAGAAATAAAAGGGGAGTACGGGATTTGAGGAAATTTTCATTTACCATTTGAAATATTAACGTTTGAAACATTGTGATACTTTCGATTTTGTTTTATTAGTTGACTATATCATTATCATTAAATTGGAGTTACTTTTATCTCTGTCGTTACTAATTTAGTCATGTTTACCCTTCAATTGAATGTAAAGCACCAAATTGACTTAAATTAATCCGATTTTAATTAAATTACCCGATGTTTTTATAATCCGAACCTGGCCTACTTCAAGTAAATTAAATTCCTAAGAGGGTCGTTTGACTACTGGTTAGAGTAATAGAGTTATGTAAATATTAGTTCAGTGTTTAGTTATGCAAATATCAATCATGCAAGGTTTAGTTATGCAGTGTTTAATTATGCAGAATTTAGTTATACGAGTATTTGTTATGCAAGATTTAGTTTGTTGGTTTTAATTATGCGAGTAATAGTTACGCGGATATTCAGTATGTAGGTATTATTTAGTTATGTAAAGATTACAATACATGAATTCTTAACTATTGAATATTAAACTTGTATGTGTGTGTATTTAATTAACATATGTATCGTCAAAAAATACAATCAAATTTTTAATATTAAAAAAATACTTATATTTGCATAAATAAATAAAAATTGTAAGGAAAAAGATAAAAAAAAATATAAAAATTTTGTAAGTAAATAAAAATAAATGAAAATGGTCTATATATGAAAAACAAACAAATGTAGATAGGTAAACAATAATGTTTTCAATTTTAAAAAAGAAATAGAAAGCAATAAAGTTTCCAATTAAAAGTAATAAAATAAATTAATAGGATAAATATGTAATTTATCATTTTAATAAATGTATAATTAATACCCACATAACTTGTTCCACTTTCTACTCCGCATAATTTTATACATAGATTTCCTCATAAGTTATGTTGGTATTAATTATGTAGGACTATAACAAAAGCAACCAAACACTGTATAAATTAATACATGAATAACTTTTATACAATATTTAAATCCTTACCAACCAAACATGATATAAGTTATTTGACTTTTATACCTAATACACAAAACTTCTACCAAACATTCTAAAACTAATATAATTTTTTATAGTGAATAAAATGTTTTTTATACAGTAACCAAATGACCCCTTAGAGTATTCATCCGAAGGGCCAAGATTGTGATAAACATTGTACAAGTTAAAAATAAAACATTATATAAGAAGAAACTTGTGAATAAGGCTGGGCGCTGGACCAGATCGAACCGTTTCAGTCCAATCATCTTCGGGACGGGATGGAATACTACGAACCGGTACTCAAAATGAAACAGTATCATGATTTGATACCGATATTGGTATCGATTCATTTCGATTCCGTTCCACTCCGTTTCCATTTTTTTTTAATTTATTAAAAGGGGCAGTGTGTTTTGTGACTTATGCCTGCCACTTGCCAATGGCAGATTGGCAGTGGGCTGTGTTGTCCCTTTTGGCCTTTCAATGTGCCATACTTCAAGCCAACAACCGTTTTTTTCCCTTTAATAACTTTTCAAATGTCTTTCGACTTTGATTTATTAATTGACTATATCCTTATAGTTAAATTAAAATTGTTTTTCGAACGTAAGCAACTTGAGAATGGACGAAAGCTACGTGACTACGATATTCAGAAGGAGTGGTGGCCGGTGATTATATTTGCCTATTACTTTGTTGTTGTTGCTTTTTCGCAACAGGCCTGTATAGATTAGCTTTTGGCTTATGACTTATAAGCTAAAAGCCATAAGTTAGGAATAAGTACTATACACACTTTTTAATTTATGGTTTTTGACTTATTTTTATTATTTAGCTTTAAAATAAATATTTATAAATATTTTTTAACGTTATTCAAACACTTTAAAACTGTTTAAAAGTTATTTTGACTTAAAATCACCTAAAATAAGTTAATTCAAAGGGACACTAATTTTTTCCCTAAATTCATCCTATACTCTGCTAATGGGTCACATAATTTGATTTTTTTTTTCCATAAAAAATCATTCAACTTATTTAATTGCTTTTTTTTTAAAAAAAAATTTACTGATATGAAATTTTAATTATTTACCAAGTATATATCCATTTAAACCATTTAATGACCCGCACCATTCAACCGCTAAAATTTTTAATATTAAACTATTTATTTTACTATTAATTTCATAAATCATTCTCCGTTGTCTCCCCTCGTTCTTTCCAATCTACGTTCTTCTTCTGTTTTTTTTTTTAATTTTATTTTATAAATTTCTCAATTTAATGGTTATTAAATACATACATGCACATTATCATAAATTTTGCAATGGGACACATTTAATAGTAGAGCATTTGCTAGTTGACACTTATTGACACATGACCAACTGGATATAAAAATGACGATTCAAACTCATTTCATGCAAGCCCCACCATATCCTACTACTCTCTTTAAAATTCCTTAGATCTTTGTTCACGTCCCCTTTTATTCTCATACTAAATTTCGATTAAAAATTAAAATTTCATGTCATCAAATTTTAATAAAAAAACGTGTTTTTGTGTGTAAAGAAATCATAGTTGAATGACTTTTGAGTTGAAAATGAAAGTTAATTGACTTTCTGTGTAATGAATTAATAGTTGAGTGACATCAAAGTTATTAACCCTTATTAAGTTACGAATTTTGTTAGTAATTTTAGAAGAGAGAAGACGATGAGGAGAAATAGATGAACAACGATGTAAAGAGACAAAGGATAGAGATGTGGATATGGGTAAACCATCATTGTGTAATAAAGTGCAAATCACACACAAAAAAATATAAATTATATTAGACAAGTCTTATGCGACATGCTTAACTCATAAGACATTAAAAGAGATCGATTCTATTGCACTAATTAATGATAAAATATAATGTTTATGCTTCTTTTATTGCAAGGGACATCAAATTGTCATCAAAACAAAGAAAGACGAATAATTTATATAATAAACATTACGTAAATTACTATAAATTTAGTTATAAAAGGAAAAGGAAATAAAAAATGTTTTCCCCATTTCATTCAACAACCTCACCGTCAAAGAATTTACATTCGGCTATAGTGATATCAATATTTTAAAAATGTTGCATTTTAATTACTAATAAGGGTAAAATAGAATTAAAAATTAATTTTTCAAATTGGATAACTAAATGTGAACATCTAATTATTGTAATGCTGGATAAATAAAATAGACAAATGGAGCATGCATAATATGATAATGTTAGAAATGTTTTTGAATAGTCATTTTATGAGCATTGTGTTGCCGATCTGTGTTTGAAAAATAGAATTACTGATTCCAATAAAATTTTGATTAAACACGAAGTTATCAAAGTTTAATGAACCAGTAAGAAAGATGAACATAAATTAATTCACAAAAAACTAAAATCTGTAAACATAACAGAATATGAAAAAGTAGAACAAAAAAAGATCAAACTCACTAAATGCACAATGTCCCCTTAAGGAAATTATTCTTCTTTAGTATCCGAGGTTTGATTTGGAATATGTCCTCCCACAATAGAACGATCTAAATCACCAGCGTATTCATACCCAAAACTCTGGTGTTAGCGAACCACTTAACAACAGTAAAGTAAACGAAGAAACTTTGTGCATAAGAAGAAGAAGAAATCAGAAAATTTTGTAAAGAAAAAATCTGAAGAATGAATGATATTTATCGGCAAGAGGAACTGGTTCTGAAAGGTTGCAACCCTTTTAGAATCCATACGACCATTCATGAAAGTTGTAAACTTTCAAACGGTCATGGTTGTTCCAAAAAGTTGCAACATGTCAGAACAGTCACTTCCAACAGTCAGAAATTCAAATAAAACGGAAAAGAATTAACAAAAATGGGTCGCGTGCGAATCCAAGTCGGGTTGGTCAATTAACTAATTAATTGAAATGTTTTGGTTAATTAACTAATTGATTGATTGACCATTTAAATTAAATTAATTAAATAAATAATTAAAATAAACTTTGTCTAAAAA